TACCTGCCTCCCCCAGCCCAGGGCTACATGGCGCACCCCCAGCCCTATCTGCTCCCCTCCCAGGCCTCCCCTTCCCAGCCAGCACAGCCTGGCCTGGTCCCCTCCATCCCTTCCCCGGCCAAGCCATCACAAGCCCATTTTCCTCCACCCCAGCCGTCCTTGCCCCTGCCCACCACTGCCCAGCCAGAGGCCTCCCAGGGTGCTACCAAAGAGGCCAGTGGCACCGAGCAGCCGGACCCCTCCACCATGACTCCCCAGGTAAGGCAATGCTACCGCTGCATTCACTCCTGTGGCCCGGCTGGCAGCAGGGAGTCGCTAGGGCAGCGGTGGCCATTAACTTAAAGGGTTTGGACGCAACCCTTGGAAGTCAGGGAATGGCACAGCTCAGACAAAGCTTGGTTGTCAGGATGTAATAAATTGTCATTTTTCTGGAGCAAGCAAGTTGTTCAGGGAGAAGTCTTAACTCCTGGCTGAGGTTGATTTGTTTGGCAGGTTTGGTCTCTGAAGAATTGTTTTCCACTGTACGGCATGCGGGCAACCTGCACTGAACCTCTGCTGACTTGGTCCACCCTGTTGTGAGATGCAACAGTCTGTCTGCTGATTGCATGTCGCAGGATCGGTGCCTCTTGTCTTCAGTGATTTCTTATTTTAGTTTTAGTCTTGGGGTCATGTTTCAGGTGTATATCTGATCGGTATAGAATTGTGACTATTTAATCTTGCCACAAAAGCTGCAAAAGTGTTTCTGTCATAATACATAGTTGCGCTTTTCTTAGACTTATGCATTTTGTGCTACACATGCTTGATCTTCTGGTATAAAATTGTATGGGCATTGAAGGGAAACGTTCTGAAAATGCTTTTGATGTGAAAAATATTGTTAATACAGGATGCTTTTTATGTGTACACTACACAAAATGACTGCAAAACGTTCACGTGCTTCACTTCCTAAATGTGAGCAGTTCCAGTGAACTTGATGGGACCATTCCTATGCATTAGGTGAGGGACAATCCAGTTGCTTAAAGTTGGGCACACACAAAGAGGCACATGTGTTGAGGTCCTCAGCTATGTATAGAGGTCAGATTCACTGAGGCTTTTACATGGTTTTAGGTTTGGCTTGTAGAGATCCAGCTGCAAGAACGAAGCTGAAGTGTGTGCTTTAAAAAGTAAATTTAATTTATTTAAGTTGGCAAATGGATCTTAGGATTCTGATTTGAAGCTAAGTTTGCAAAAATCCTGTTGCATAATATTGAAGTCACTGACATTTTAAATGCGTTGGGACACCTTTTGGAATCATAGAATGGTTTGTATTGGAAGAGACCTTAACAATCAGCAAGTTCCAACCCCCTGCCATGGGCAGGGACACCTCCCACCAGACCAGATTGCCCCGTCCAACCTGGCCTTGAACACTGCCAGGAAGGGGGCATCCACAGCTTCCCTGGGCAACCTGTTCCTTTGGCTACTCTGAGTAAAGAATTTCTTCCTAGTAACTAATTTAAATCTCCCCTCTTTCAGTTTAAAACCATTCCCCCTCATCCTGTCACTACCTGCCCTTGTAAACAGTCCCTCCCCAGCTTTCTTGTAGGCCCCTTCAGGTACTGGAAGGCTGCTGTAAGGTCCCCCAGAGCCTTCTCTTCTTCAGGCTGAACCACCCCAACTCTCTCACCCTGTCCTCATAGGAGAGGTGCTCCAGCCCTCTGATCATCTTTGTGGCCCTCCTCTGGACCCCCTCCAACAGCTCAATGTCCTTCTTACATTGGGGGGCCGCAGAGCTGGATGCTGTACTCCAGGTGGGGTCTCACGAGAGCAGAGCAGAGGGGCAGAATCACCTCCCTTGCTCTGCTGGCCACACTGCTTGTGATGCAGCCTGGGATGCAGTTGGCCTCCTGGGCTGCAAGTGCACATTGCCAGCTCATGTTGAGCTTCTCATCCACCAGTACCCCCAAGCCCTTCAATCCATTCTCTGCCCAGCCCAATTGTTGTGACCCATGTGCGTGACCTTGCGCTTGGCCTCGTTGAACTTCATGCAGTTGGCATAGGCCAACTTCTCAATTCTTTACATTATATACATTAAAATGTCATACCAGTACCTGAATATGTTTGGGAATGTGTAATTTTTAAGTTTGCACCATACAACAAACTAACCACTGCCTCAAAAATTGGTGGTTTTCATTCATGAATTTAATTTTACAAAGCTTTTGGACAGTACTAGTTGATCTTTTATAATTATAGCAGTGGGACTTACTAAAATTTTTAATGGCAAACAAAAAACTTGAAAAATCAGGTGTAGAAAGGGATGTTAATTAAATATTGATGCTGCTTGCTGACTTGTTAAATTATTGAGCTTGAGATCAAACAGTAAACTCCAATTCCTCCCCCCTTATGCAGCCCAAAATTTTATTGATGTTCTTTGTTTCTCAACCAGTGTCTCCTTTCCAGAGCAGTCGCAGGTGATGTGTCACTGTGGTGCGCCCACAGAAGTGGCAGAATGCTGCTGAAGTTTCAGGTTGTCTGGTTTATGAGTGTTTATACAAACAACCTCTGTTTTGAGTCGTTTGTTTACTCTCGCGTATGTTTCAGTGCTAATTCAAAAGAAATATGGTACCTTGCTGCTCATAAATGTTGTACCAGATTGATACGATTTTGGCTGTCTTAGGCTGTAAAATGAGGCAGGATTTGGGGCAACGACTCCTTACACAATAGGAATGAGAAAAGCAACACGGAGTGATGCTCTTTTACTAATTATCTTTAAAGCTGAGTACAGAAATACAGAAATCTGTCATTTCTAAGATTTCATTAAGCCTTTGTTTGAAGAGGTATTCAAAACCAATTCTTTCTGGCCTCATCCCACACTGACAGTGGCTGCAGCCCAACAGATCAGTGTTTTTCTCTCGGTGTAGTAAATATTATGCAATTTGCCATGAGTTACTGTTTTATTATTTCCCTTTCCTGTCTGATAATAAGGTAGTGCTCTTTGCCTTGACAGTATTGCGAGTTTAGCTTCGTTTCTTGCGTGGCTCTACAGTTGGAGTAAATTGCTGGGTTCTTGTGTTTCTCTGCAATCGGGTGCATCTTTTGTCAAGTCCTGTTAAAATACTTGTGGTGTTTCATTACGGTGGTATTTAATTATCGTCTGATATTTGGGTGTCACGTGCTGCTCTTCATTGTCAGTAGTAAACAACTGTGTGTGGGTGCATCTGTATCCATCAAGATGCATTTATCTACATCTGTTGAAGTCTGCTTTACTGTGTCACCTTTCAGCTGCCTACTGAACTCTTTACAATTCCCCCTTTGTTTTATAAAGGATACTAAACCATTATCTTGCTATCTGCACCAGAAAAGGACCGAATGTCCCCCAAAATAGGCATTATGTTACAGCCTAGGCTCACCTAAATTGGTTCCAAAGTAGTTTTTTGGTGTGGGCTCTGCTTTAATGGTTTTGATGATACGTCCTGTGGCCAGGAGCTGACAGTGCTGGTTTCGGTGTTCTTTGTACAATGCACCAGTCATAGTCTCTTCATCAGCTAAAGATGGATAGAGGCAAATATTGATGCTGATGTATTCCTTGGGCTTAAGGGTTGTAACTGGACTTGAGTGACAGTTGTGAGGAGACAAGCACTCAAATAACTGAACTTTTCATTGTTGGAAGTATTCTGTGCTAGCACTTCTGTTCTGTTCAGACTAAGCTGCAGAAATCTGCCTTTCCGCTTCTCTTGCACTTTTCAGTTAGAACCTGCAGTGCATGTGTCACTGACTTCATCTGCTGTGAAACTTAGGTGACAGGATATTACAGTTGTAAAGCTCCTTGTGTGAATTCCTTGTCATACAATGATTCTTAGCCCTTTGTCCAATTGGTAGAACGAGGATCAACAAAATTAATCTGTGGAGACAGCAGTTTCATGGCAGTAGAAGAGGTGCTCATCAAGCCTAGCATCCTGCACTTTATGGTAAATCACCTTGTAATGACTTTTGAGAGGGGGCGATTGAATCAGGTTTTGTGTAGCTGGGGATGTGTGCTCCTCCTTGGTGCCAAAAGCTGAGCTTACTGCAGCACGTTGTTGTTGTTGAAGGTTTCTGAGAGAGCTCATGCTGGAGCGTGAATGCACATCTTCCACCCAGAGCCGTGAGAGCTTTTCTGAGTCATATTCTTGTTAGAGATTCTTGGCCTCTCCTTTGGTTGACCTCATCTCCAAGTTACAGTTTTACAGAAGTATTTTTTTTTAAATCAGCTCCGTGTTTAATTGTGTCTGCTGGATTGCTGCCAACAGAAAACATCATTCCTGATTGCGGCGTGAGGCAGGGCTTTCGGAGGAAGCTTGCACTTCTTTTAAACCTGTTTTAAGACGAGCAGAATGATTCGGTTTTGCGAAATCTCATCAGGCAACGCCTACCACTTTGTTGTTGTCACACATATTTTGAAATAGCTGCATCTTTTGGTTTCTTTTCTGTTTCTGAGTGGGCTTTGTATTGGTGTCTGTTCTTAACTGTGCACGCTTGGATGTAAGGGAAGAACAGAGAGTAGGAAAGACGTAGAGCAGTCACAGATTCTTGGAGGTGGTGGAGTTGACTTGAGAGCATAAAAACAGTTCACAGAATCACAGACCGTTAGGGATTGGAAGGGACCTCAAAAGCTCATCCAGTCCAGTCCCCCTGCTGGAGCAGGAACACCCAGATGGGGTTACACAGGAAGGCGTCCAGGCGGGTTTTGAATGTCTGCAGAGAAGGAGACTCCACAACCTCTCTGGGCAGCCTGGTCCAGTGCTCTGTCACCCTCAGTGAGAAGAAGTTTCTTCTCAAATTTAAGTGGAACCTCCTGTGTTCCAGCTTGTGCCCATTACCCCTTGTCCTATCATTGTTTGTCACCGAGAAGAGCCTGGCTCCATCCTTGTGACACTCACCCTTTATATATTTATAAACATTAATGAGGTTGCACTGTGTTAGACCACAACTACAGAATTTTACTAGTCTGCCTTTGACAGTGATGGAAAGCAGATGCTAAGAGACTAACTCAAAAATCAAGTGTATAGCAACACTTCCCTAAAATCTAGGAGCTGCCTTAGCTGCCGCTGGTGTCTTTACTTTTGAAGCGTGTAGGTTTTTTCTATGAGCTTACGGAGCTGTGTCTTGAATCCACAAAGCTCTAGCCCTTACAGTGGTGGCTGGCAGGGACTTCGGTAGCGTAAGGCCATGTCAGGTGAAGAGCTGCCTCCCTCGTGTTTTGAGTGTGTGTCCTGCTAGTCTGATCTGATGCCTGATATTTCCTGTGTTTGGAGAGAGAACCGAACTGTTGGTTCCTATTCAGGTCTCTTTAAGATGCACCACTAATGAAGTGTTGAGATACTTATCTTTAGTCTTTTGTTCTTTATCTTGGTGGCAGCTTACTGTGTTTTGAAGCTACTGTCATCTGCCCAGAGTACTCTAATTCTAGCCTGGAGTATTTAAAACTGAAACTTGATTCTTAAATGGATAATTTTTTGGGTGCAACCATACCTATTTACCTCTTCAGCAGTCGAATGAATTGGAATTACTGAGAATTGGTGATAAGTAATCCTCATCATATGCTGGTGGTTCTGATGGTTCTTTTTCCTTTCCACAGCCTTTATTCAAATGTCTCCACCACAGTTTCTCAGCTTTCTCTGTCACCCTACTTGATGTCCATGTTCTCTGTTCATCTTCTTGTTTTCTGTACATTTCCTCCTTTTTCTCTTTACTCCTCCCTTATTCACACCTGTCCTCCATTTTACCTAAGTTAGTCTCATTATAAGTATCTACAGTTGCTAGGAATAAAAAGCACTGAAAATAATGAGTATGGTACTTATCACATGCCTGTAGTAATTTGGTTTCTAATTGACCATCTTTCTGCTTTTCATTATTGTTCTCTTTAGTTGTAAGCTCTTTGAGGTAGGAAATAAATTCTGCAGCAGGTACTATGCCTCACATACTGGTTTCTGAATTTTGATTCAATCTTGTGACATCCATTGCAGTACTGGTGATGATGAAGTGAGTTTTCCCTCCAGAGAGATTTAAAAACTTTTCTAGAGTGTTATTCTAGTGACTATCATGAATTAATTTTCACGTTCTTTCCTGTGAAAGCTGTCTTAAAACATTTCTGTCTATTCTAGGAGCAGCAGCAATACTGGTACCAGCAGCACCTGCTTAGCCTGCAACAAAGGGCAAAAGCCCATGCTCAAGGACAGCAGCAAATGAAAGGTCCAGTAGTGAAGGATGCACCTGAGCAGAGAGCAAAGTCTGAAGAAGGAAAAACGAGTGCTTCAAGTCAGCAGTCTGAACCTCCTCCGCTTAATGAATCTCTGCCTCCAGCTTCCAAAGAAGACGAGGCTTCTCTTACAGCCACTGAAACTCAGGTGGGCTTTGTGAAGTGATGCCACACCAGTGTCCTAGATGGGACAAGTACCCAGAAAAGTAATGCCATCCGATTCTCATGTATACTGTGTAGCAATAACTAAGTGTGGTAAAGCAGTCTTAAAAGAACATTTGCTAAGGCTGCACCAATTAATAAAATAAAAATACACTCCTCGTATATAGACTTACACAGTCACCCACACATGCACTGAGTCCAAGCTTGGCTGACTCACCCTTTCCCCAACATTGTCATCTTTGTCTATGAGAAGCACTGTGTGATACCTAAGTGCGAAATCAAGTACTTCATAGATGAGGGATTCTGTCTTTAAGACACTGGTTTTTAATTCCTCTCTGGCAGTTTGTCAATTCTGGGTCTCCTTCTCTCTGTGTTACAGTTTGTCTGAAAGCCAGGAACTTTGCACAGAATATTTTTGTCAGCGTGCTTAATAACAGTTGCTGTATAACGGATGGAGGTCATGACTGATGTTTGAACAGATTACTGGGGTAGGGTAGTAGATTACCTTGCAGCATGTGCTCCACTTTGGTTTACAGTGTGTGGGTTCCTACCAAGTGGCAAAAGTAATGCACTTGGAGCTACTTTACCTCATGAAAAAGTACTGTTGTCTCATTATACTTGCTGTGAGCAACAGATAACAGTTCTGCATTAATCTTTTTCCTGTAGGTAGTTTCTGTATGTATGAATACTCTGCCATCAGCCCAACCTTTACATTCACATTAAGAATAAACAAAATAAAAATCAGCCTTCCAGAAGCTGTGGGCTGCCAGAATACTGAAATACAGAGTGATAAATAATGAACGTTGAGAAAGTTCCTGTAAACTGACTAGTGACCAAGCTTGTTTTTCTTCTGACAGAAGGAGCTTTCCTTTAGTTACAATGTTTCCCTTTTTCTCTAGCTCAATATTGAACCTCCCGATGACCCTGAGGAAGATTTGAGATTGCAGCAATTGCAAGCAGCAGCAGCTCAATGGCAGCAGCATCCCCACCAGCGGGTTGGATTTCAGTATCAGAGAATAATGCAGAAGCATGCCCAGCTGCAGCAGATAGTACAGCAGTATCAACAGATCATGCAACAGCCTCCACACCTACAGGTGAACCACTAATGGTGTTTGATGTGCTTCCTGGGCGACATAGCACTCATGATCTGCTGAAAAATGAGTACTTGAATAATTTGTCATGGCTGGCTCATTTTTCTAGCTACTTTTTCTGCTCAAACAGAAGTATATATCCCCTTTTCCTACTGTTAACTTCAAAATGAAAAAAGAATTCACAGGTGGTGGTGAAGCTTCAGTAGGATGAGAAATAAAAGTCCTTACACTTGTCATGAGATTTTTCAGACATCCCTGGGTGGTAAAGGAGCAAAGCTGAACACAATGTTGAATTTGCTCAGCTTTGAATGTTGTGCTGCTGGAGAAACAGTTCAGAAGAAAGGTCAGGTAAACAGGTGATTGCATGGAGTAATTTCATAGGTGCTCTTTTTTACAACATTATGTAGTACAGAAAATAAATGTGTGCAGTGATGAAGTAAACATATATGCCAAAAATTTGCAGTTAAAGTAATTAAGAAAATCAGCCTCACATTATTTTTTACTTAAATAATAAGTGAAATAGAGTTTTAATAACAAGTTTGGATAATTATATCAGTGTTGCAAGCTTTAAGCTTTTAAGCAGAAGTTGATTACTGTATTAGAGAGTTGAGTCAGCTTTTTTCTGGGTTGGTGGAGTTTGTACATTAAGCATTTCTTTGTAGCTTGGGCTGTCTGCTTTCAAAAAAAAAATCTCTTTAAGTGTGAACCCTAAAAATCTCAGACAAGATTAAGCCATGGATATTAGGACCTGTATCTATACATAATGAAAGTTAGTACCTCCTTGAAAGAAGCTTCATTGTGCAAATAAGATGATCTGGCAGACTCAGAGAAAAATAATTGCTGACAGCTGAAGCAACTCTGAGCAGGTTGATAGGAGAAGCTGAAACCTTGAGAAATAGCCACGTACTGTACATATGAAAGTGTGAATATTGGTTTGGGCTTTAGCCATTGTCAGTATCCAGTAGTCACAAAATCCCAGAATATTAGGAGTTGGAAGGGCTGATCAAAAGATCATGTAGTCCAACTCCCCTGCCAGAGCAGGATCACCTAGACTAGGAATAATAATGAGGAGTAAAAGCTGTAATAATACAACTTGGAGCCCTTTGATTATAGCTTTCTTCAGCTGTCCTGTTTAAAGCAATAAACAACAACAGAAAAAAGCCTCTTAGACATAAATGTCCTCTAGGCATAAAATGTGTAAATTCTCACTGTGACTTTAGACATCCCAGTTGGTGTTCGCTTTTGTTGCAGTGTAGTTCTTCCTCAAGCTTCTGCCCACATCAGGAATTGTGGTATTACAAGTGATACTGAAATATGTGGCTCTGAAAATAACTGAGATGGTATTTTGAAGTTATTCTTGTCTTCTCATTGCAGACAATGTCAGTGGAGATGCAGCTGCGACATTATGAGGCACAGCAAAAACAGTTTCAGCAGCTTCATAAAGATTGGGAGCGATCAATGAACCAGCAGTGGCAGCATCAGCTTCAAACCTACCCTCACAAAGACCAGCTTCAAGAGTATGAGAAACAGTGGAAAGCGTGGGATGAACAGATGAAGGTCACCCAGTCCCATCTGCAGGAGAAAGTGAGCTCACTCCAAAATCTGAAGAATCAGTACCCTGCAAATGTTTCGCTGCCACCTCCATTTGTTCCATATTCTCAAAGCACTCAAGGGGGCATTCCCATTATGCCTCCAACTTTACCTTCAACTACACCTCCGCTGGTCCCCCCGCCTCTCTCTTCTGTTTCTCAGTTATCTAATTCCTCTGTCCCTTCAGGATCCAGTTCTCAAAGCACTCAATCTACTGAGACACCAAGGCCAGCTCTGCTTCCCACCCCTGGTACCTATGCATCAAAAATAGCAAGTTCAACTGTCTATTCACCTTACCATTCTCAAGTAAGTTCATCCTTTGGCTCCTCAGACCATGGGAAGTCTCAAGCTCATCTTAGTAAACAAGGTGTCTCTGTTTCATCTGAGCAAGGATGTGGGGAACTGAAAGCCACTTCTGCAGGGTCTTCATCACATGCGCCTACCATGCAGGATAAACCAGTGAGGTCTGGTGGATTGCTTCCAGATCCTCCCAGATCAGCACGTTTTGAAGGCCCCAGAGGCCCTAGGTAAGGATGGTTTCATTGATTTATGCATGTTCCAGGCTACAAGACGAATGTCATGCCATGCTCTGTATTTATCTCGTTAAAGCAAGGATAGATGTCTTTCCCCTGAGCCTTATCTCGAGTAGAATGCCTTGGGTTTTTTTTTTTCCAGTAAAATGCTAGGGCACACTGCACCTTTTTCATTCCCAGAGACATAATATCCCTTTTGTGAAAACAGGAAAGCTGCTGTAAATATTTGATATGTCTTTGCTGTTCTTAGTTAGAATAACTTGATTCTATAGAGTCATTCTATATGGAAAATTATCTAAATCCCCAGCAGTTTCTCTCTGGTACTTGGAATGCAGTTTAGGAAAACGTAAAGCAAAACTGTTGAAGAACTGCTTTTAAGGTGTTGCTCTATATGCTAGTACCTTAATGTAGGCATTCTGAAAGGGATTCAGGAAAGTATTCAGATACATCTTCCATTGACTACACTAATGTAGCTGGATGCTATTTACTTTCTAGAAACAATAAAAAGTTCTCTTTGTAATCCAACATTTATTGCAGAAAGAAATGAAAATTCAGAGCTGTTCAGCAGTACTTTAACTTCTGGTGTGAGAGAGTTGTACAGCTGTATTCCTGTCCTATTCAGTGCTCTTTTCAAATTTGGCTGTTGAATAAGAGAGGTGGTGCTTGTCTCGAGTACAAATCGATGGTTTTCTGCCATTACTTACCATTCAAACAATTATAAATGAGAGAGGGAAAGAAATGAAGATTTGAGCCTTAAGATCCTAGCATTAGGATTCTTTGCCACTCTTTCTTTTGCATTACATCATGATGGTCTTGGTTTTGAAGACTGCTCTCTTTATCTTTTGGTAAGATACAGTTTTGGTCCGCCTTAATATAAAGCTACTATGAGAGCCAGTGTTCTGTGTCTTTTCTGTGGTTTTATACCCACTGTATGGTTTAATCCAAGATCGTGTTTTTCTCTCCTACTTGACATGATATCAGGTTGCAAAAACAGCATCTGTTTTGTCTTGCCATTAGTTCATTTGATGTGATGCCTCCTGAATCAGTGAACAGTTTTGTTCTGTTAAATTGTTTCTATCCTTGCATACTCTACTAGACTTTACAATCGCATCTTCATGTTTGGTTCCCTTCCCTTTGCTTCCAAAGTGATCATTCATGAATAATAATTCATGAATTGCTAGCAATGTAAATGATTTTTTTAATAACTTTTAATAATTTTCTACCTCCTGATGGTTTTTTTAAAAGTGTTGTTTCTGGTCTTTATATGGACCCCTGAGGGACACCACTTGTCACCAGTCTCCATCTGGACATTGAGCCATCGACCACTACCCTCTGGGTGCAACCATCCAGCAATTCCTTATCCACCAAACAGTCCATCCATCAAATCCATCTCTCTTCAATGTAGTGAGAAGGATGTTGTGGGGGACCATGTCAAAGGCCTTACAGAAGTCCAAATAGATGACATGCATAGCTCTTCTCTTGTCTTCTGATATAGTCACTCCATCGTAGAGTGGTTGGTCAGACAGGACTTGCCCTTAGTGAAGCCATGCTGGCTGTCTCAAATCACCTCCTTGTCCTCCATGTGCCGTACCACAACTTCCAGGAGGATCTGTTCTATGATCTTTGCAGGCACGGAGGTGAGGCTGACAGGTCGGTAGTTCCCAGGGTCCTCCTTTCTACCCTTTTTATAAAGCAGGTGCAATGTTTCCGTTTTTTTCCAGTCACCAGGGTCTTCACCTGATTGCCATGACTTTTCAGATATCATGGAGAGTGGCTTGGCAACTGCATCAGCCAATTCCCTCAGGACTCTGGGATGCATCTCATCAGGTCCCATAGACTTACGTATGTTTGGGTTTGTCAGGTGGTCACAAACCTGATCTTCTCTTACAGTGGTAGGGCCTTTGCTCCCCTAGTCTGTCCTGTGGTCCATCCACTCGAGAAGTGTGAGAAGAGAGTTTGCTAGTGAAGACTGAGTCAAATTTTGAGTACCTCAGCCTTCTCTTTGTCTGTTGTTACCAGTTTGCCAGTTGTGTTCACTTTCTGGCTACGCTTTCTTGGACCTTCCTTTTCTGGCTGACGTACTTAAAGAATCCCTTCTTATTATTCTTTGCATCCCTTGCCATGTTCAGCTCCAGCCACACTTTGGCCTTCCTGACCCCATCCAGTGAGACACAACTGTGAATCCCAAACACCCAAGCAACTTGACTTCAGAGATGAGTTCTCTATTTTGTGTAAAATGAATTTGATTTTTTTCTAGTCTATCACAGAAATAGGTACTGGAGCACATACTTGAAGATTGGCTTTTTTACTTGATCAGCCTTGCATGAATTATTTTTCATTAGTTTGCCTGAACTATTTCCTAATATTGAAGTGATAGCAGTTGTAGGTGCTCTCAAAAGGAATTTTAAAAGTGATGTATTTGTTCTAGGCATATTATCTTGCATGGACCCAGGCATTATCACAGTTCGTTGCACTTTCTGAAAGGATCTTTATTTCAAGATTTTTCCAGGTGGCATTCGTCACCATAGTTAAGTAGGCTTGTTGCGTACTATCGAAACAACAAAAGTTGTTGATTGCAACAAAACTTTCATTAAACAGAAGTTGGAAGTTTTTTTCAAATGAGTTTGCCAGCTTTCTTTGTCAATCAAGTTTAAGATCTGAGATATTTAAGCCAAGTTTCCTTTTAGGGTTTCATAATCTGCAAGTGGCTTAAACTGGTCTTTAGCGGACGGTATTGAATTGAAGAACACGTCTCTGTGCTTCTGCACCGATTAAGTAGGGATTGATCTTCAGGCACACTAGGGTTCATTGGTTAGAAGTAACTTTCGGGGTGGGTGAAACTGTCTTTTGAAGATTTTAATTTTACTTGTTCATTTGAATAAAATTGCCATTATGTCATCTATAGATTTGATGGACCTCGAGGAAGAGGATATGACAAGTTTGAAGGGTCAAGACACAGAGGGCCTCGTTTTGACTCCCAGCGCTCAGAAGGATACAGGTCACGTTTTGACCGACAGAATACAGATGGGCAGTCTTCAGGTAGGTGGGGGACTATCCCACGAGGACCAGCAGCACAATTTTATACTTCGACAAATGCATCACATGGACATGGTTCCCGACCTGGTGGACCGCGGTGGAGGGGGCCCAGGCCTCATATGGGACAGCAGCAGCAGCAGCAGCAGTCACAGACGGACTCACAGTCAGAAGATAAAGAAACTTTTGCAGATGTAGCTGACAACCAGCAGCCTGTGAGCAGAACACAGTCTACTCCCGACGCTGAGAGTGCAGATCCCATTGAGTCGAATGAGGACCTGACAGACACTCAACAGGAACCATCCAAACCTGAAGTCAAAGAAACTGTTTCAGACCCTCCTAAAAAGTGGACGTGGAGTTCACACGATCCTAACCAGCCAATAGAAGAGTCCAAAGCACCTACTCCGCCTCTTCAGAACCAGAAGTCACCATCCCTTTCTAGTAACCCTGTAGCTTTGCAGTCAGGTATTGCAAGGACAGGCGGTGCGGTAACCCCTGTAACAGGAGATCAGGAGTTGGATTCTCCAGATGACCAGTTGATTGCTTCAGATAGCACCGAGGGCCTAGCTGGACAAGAAAGCAGAGGAAAAGGGCAATTTATGCATGAAGATAGAGGTAAGGGACCAGTAAGCAGAGGAAGAGGCCAGGGTAGACTGGAGGATGGCCGTGGCAGAGGGCAGAGGGATGGCCGTGGCTGGGGAATGGGTCGTGGCCGGGGAATGGGGAGGATGGATGGTGGCCGAGGGATGGGAAGGATGGATGGTGGCCGGGGAATGGGAAGGATGGATGGTGGCTGGGGAATGGGCAGGATGGACGATGGCCATGGCCGGGGAATGGGCAGGATGGACGATGGCCGTGGCAGAGGATATGTATACAGAGGCAGAGGGCAGGCCAGACAGGCATCCATCCGTGGCAGGGGGATGTTCAGGAGAGCAGGCAGCAGGGAGAGGATGCCAGATAGGCGCTCAGGCAGCAGAGAAAGGATGCCAGATGGACGGTCTGGCAGCCGAGAGAGGGGACTGGGTGGGCGGTCAGACAGCCACGAGAGAGTATTCTCTAGCCGAGACAGAGAGCTCGCTGGGCGGACAGGCAGCCGGGACAGGGGACGGGCAGGCAGCCGGGAGAGAGGTCCGGTCAGGCGGGCAGGGAGTCGGGAGAGGGAGCCTATGCGTCGGGCGGGTAGCCAAGAGAGGGATCCTATGCGGCAGGCAGGTGGCCGGGAGAGGGTCCCATTTAGGCGGGCGGGTAGCCGTGAGAGGGGCCCATTTAGGCGGGCAGGTAGCTATGAGAGGGGCCCAGTCAGGCGGGCAGATAGCCATGAGAGGGGTCCCATGAGGAGGGGAGGTAGCCGGGAGAGGGAAGCTGGAAGATCTGAAACAGGCAATATGGATAAACCCATTCACCTAGGAGATGACCCTGACAATTTGCCTCCATACCATCGAGACGAGACACTCGGGGGTTCTTGGGGTCACGAAGATGATAGAATGCAGGAGGAATTTCCTTTAGATAGTCAAGATGACCCTTCTTTGGAGCATGAGCGATTGGATGACTGGGAAAGAGAACGATACTGGAGAGATCACAACTCTGATTATCAGGATGAATCTGTAGATGCGTATGACAGAGATGACAGGTTGCAATCCCACCATTCATTGCCTCCATTATCGCCCCTGCCACCACTACCTCCTTTATCATCTGATCATGACAGACGAGATTCGTGGTGGGATGACTGGAAAAGACCAAGAGACAGGGAACTAGAGAGAGATCTAGATAGGACTGGAAGATCCTCAGATGTCTATGATCAAGATTTAGACAGAGAATGGGATAGAGACTGGGACATGAGAGCCATGGATGACAGAGAAATGGGGAATCGCGACCTGGATATTCCCCCTCTACCACCATTACCACCTCTTCCACCTCTGGACAGATACCGTGAAGATAGGTGGAGGGAGGATAGGAGCAGAGATCATTATGACAGAGACCTCCGAGACAGGGAAGAGCTGAGGATCCGAGAGTATCCAGAAAGATACGACACGTGGCGGGAGAAGCAAGACTACCTTCCTGAAAGGACTGACTGGGAGAGGGAACGGTTGTCGGACAGGTGGTATCCAAATGATGGAGACAGGCTGCGGTCTCTGGATGACCATCCGGATTCATCCCTTCCTCCACCTTCACATTCCTCTGATATGCTGGGAGCAGATTCAAACCTGGACGCTGACCAGGGTTTGGGAGGAGTGATGGTCCTTAGCCAAAGACAGCATGAGATAATCCTGAAGGCTGCCCAGGAGCTCAAAATGCTTCGGTGAGTTGCCTGGTTCTGTTACTTTTGGGTGAGAGAGAAATTACTAAGTAGGCTTATTGGATTTTCTTTATCCGTTGTGGTGGCTACTGCATTTCTTTCCTGAAATGTTGCACTTCTGAGCTAGTGCACCTCCACCTGGTGTGGAGGACATTCATTTCCTTTTGAACATCTTTGTGATAAATGTTTGTTATGATGCATTGGTGTGTTGTGACACATTGACTTTTTTTTCTGACCTATCTTTCTCCTTCCTTCTGACACAAGTGCTCTGGGTTTGACTAGGGGTGACTAAATTTTGACATTGCAAGCTTTTCTTGGGATTATGAATTGCCCTCCAGTTTCAGCTATTAAGTTGGCAAGTCAGATGTATTGTAGATTTAAGCAGCCATATGGGCAATTTGGATGTGAATGGAGTTTTCAGAATCTTAATCAGGAATGGGCTGAGATTCAGAGCTTTGTTTTTTTTAAATTACTGACTCTCTCCTCTCTGCATGCCTTGTCTCATAGAACAAAGTATACATTTATAAGTATTCTCTCGCTTTATTTCACACATAAGTAGTAGTGATTTTAAAACTAATTATTGTAAACTATTTTAATTTTATACAAAAAAACTTGTGTGCAGACTTTGACCCTTGATGACGCTGGGATCACACTTTATCTATTACTAGAGTGAATGACTGATGCTAAACACTGCACCTGTATTTGTGGTGGAAAGCTTCTTGGTTTGTTTCCAGTTCGAGTTCATTGTGTCTCACTTACTCAGATACATTTCCAAGCCTGGAAATAATGTTCACTGTGGGTTTTGGAAGGAAAAATTGTACTTCGGTACCTTAGCAAGCTTTCAGAACCTCCTTTTTGGACGCTGACTCAGTAATGGAGCTGCAAGTTCCTCGAGGACGAATTTCATGGTGGTACTTATGTTCATGCTCCTTAAGAGTCTTCCGTTTCCCCACTGCAGCTGTCCCACAGAATATTTAAAGCACAGCTCTCAGAACAGTGTGGGGCTTCTGTGGAGATGGTGCTCCGTTCCTAATTTATTCCTTGATTTATGCAGTAGTGGCTTAATTTCTTTTCATGATAGTAGGAGCTCATTTGGAACCAGTTATTTGGAGAACCTCCATCACAGTTTGTGGGTGGAGTTTTTTTCTTAAGTAGGTGGTTGTTCCTTTACCTGTGAACATGGCATTCCCTGTTTATTACTTTCCAGGAAGAGATCTGTCCACATCACCTGGCCAATCTTTTTGTTATCCTCAAATGAGCTTTTTAATCTTTTTATTAGTGTCAGATGAGCTTGTTGATAATTGCTTTTTAATAGTTACCTGTCAAGATCTACAGTAATGTGGTTCTTAACTCACACGATGGGAGCTATTTAATTTTTGGATACTGCCGACTTTCTGATTAAAGCATACCCGTTGGTTTTTTTTTTGCTTTTTACAATGCTCCCTCATTTGAAATCCAGCAGAGTCAGTGGATAATCTCATCAAGTTTGGTTGGTCTGAGTTCAGAGGATCAGCATAACAGCAGTGGTAATGATCAGGAGGATGTGGATGTGAGAGTTCAGCAAGGCCACGTTTTCGAAAGCAGCTACTGGACTCCCTAAGGCTTTATAGGTGTTTATTTCAAAATAACTACTAGAGTAACCTCTTAAATGTCAGAAACATCCTAGGGCTCAAGAAATTTAGTAATGTACCAATGAATAGAGCACACAGCAACTATCCAAATGCTTTCTTTGTGAAATGTATTCATAAAAAAACCCAAACCAGAAATCTGCGTTTCTTTTACTACTTTCAGCGAATGAGATGTTTTGGAGGAGGTTGTAGAGAAAAGAGGAAGCATCTTTGAGGCAGGGTCGTGTGGTTCAGCCCTTCATGAGTTACTGAGAGAGAGCTAAGAATTGGTGCCTAGTAAAGATGGGGGTTTTATCTCATAAACAAGATGTGCTAAATAATGGGCAATCAAAAGGAATGTTTGGTTTTCATGATTACATTTACATTAAACTATGTCGAAAGACACAGGCGCTTTGCACTTTTGTTGAAGCTGTCTTGTTTTCAGACTCGTGAGATTGCTAAGCATCTGTCCCATATGGAAGGCCTTAGTTGCATGCCAAAATGCAAGAGAAGTAATTTTCTAAAGGGAAAGGAGGACTTTTATTCTGAAGAATTTAAATTTTCGCTGCAATTAGATTATTTAACGACTGTGAAGTCTGTGTCGTAAAGCAAGATTTGACATAGGGCTTGGAGCCTATGGGTTTTTTGATCCTTTTCAGCTTTCTGACTTTCTCATTGCCCCAGGTTGCCAGGCGTATGTTTTGCTGTTTAACGTGACCAGCTGCAAGCCGGTGGACTTAATCTAAGGACCAGAGTTTGGAAATTACTGCCTAAGTGAATAATTTATTAGGGCTGAAATATTTAAACATACAAGCTAAAACGTTTTACGTAAGAAAGCAAATACATACATACCTCTTTCTAAACTGGTAAAAAGGGATGATAAAACATAATACTGCTGATACTGTTGTTTTCTTAAAATCAGTCACACTGGTACTTCTTGCCAGGTTTTTATAAGCAGGTGACCCCAATCTGAACGGTAGGAACAACTTTAAGGAGACTGCTTAAGCCAAGAGTTGTACCAGTAGTGTGGTGCATAACTGCTTTCGTTTCCAAAGGTAAAGCCTTCATCCGGCTTTGCTTTTATTGTGTATGAAACAGCATCCTCTGAGCTCCATGCTGTTCTGTATTTGTCATCTGGTGTATTTTTCCTACACCACGCGTAAAGAAGACCTTTTAAGTGCTAGCAGTTGCTTGGTGTGCTCTTTGTACCAATGAAGCACTGCAGATCCCTTTCTGAGAGCCGAGTTCCCCTTGCACTGGGTGCTGAGCAGATGGGTTGCTGCTCAGAATGGCCTCTGCTGGGCCTAACATAGAGGGATCCTGTTCTTAGTTGCTTGGGCACTGCATTAATACAGACAATTAATATGAACAAAGAGGTTTTAGCAATAATAATAACAAATATAGTAATAACAAACCTAGATAAATAGATGCAAACAAAACCTGAAAGGAAATCTTACCCAATACAGATAGATCTTTGTCATCCAGTGGTTGTGAAGTTCACTGCTGGTCCTGGTCTCTGCTCTATAGACTAGGTAGCATTTTGATATATAAAGCGAGAAAGCAAAAGCTAACATCACCACTTTGGTTTTAAATGTTGGAGTTTCTGCTGTGCTTTGTGTTGGCCTCAATCCTGTTGGTGTGCAACCCAGAGCAAGTCACTGCAAGCGCTTAAGTGCACATTTCCAGTGGGCTTCTGGTTTGCAGAAGGTGTTGCCAGAAGCTAAAAAGTAGCTTTGCTCTTTACTGTCAATGTGGAGTGGTTCTGGCCAAGTACAGAATCATAACTGCATGTCACAGAGGAAATTTGTGATGAAAAAAGGAGGCAGATAATACATTAAATATGTCCATGGTTATGTGAATGTGAAACAGGGATTTCTGAATCATAGCATTGACCATGTAAAGCCTACTGTGTCCTTTTCTTCTTTGGACTTGGCCTCTGATGCTGGTGTAATATGTGGTTTTCACTGTGAGAGTTGATTTCTTTAATTTTTCATTTAAGCTACAGACTGATAACACTTTCTTGTGGTTCACGTGCAGAGAGCAGAAAGAACAGCTGCAGAAGTTGAAAGAGTTTAAAGCTGACATTTCCACACAAGACTCTCCGAGATCTCAGAACACGAGCACAAGGCTGGGTGCCTTTCAGGTAAATTAATCTTGTGTTAACTTAATAACATGCTGCTAGTAATTACTGTTAATGTGTATGTCAGATCAGTTCTGCACTCTGATGGTAAAACTTCTCTGTGCAATGCCTCCCCAGCAGCCCTTACAACCTCATCAATCTTCTGTTGAGGCCAAGCAACTTCTTTGTTTCTTTAGATTTTCCAGAGCCTCTTCTACTCATTCAGTCCACCGTGTCTTCTGAGCATGACCCGCTGGGGACAGTGGCACATGAGGGTCAGCAGCCTGGGCTGCTGTGGGGTGATGGGCAGGAAGAGGTGAGCTCTTCCAAAACAGGGCCATAAGGCTCGTGAGGAGACCCTCCTGTTCCTTGCCTAAGTTCTGATGTCCTGCTCTGCTTTTCCTACTCTAAGAGCTCTCTCCTTTTTGGAGTTAGAGGAATTTGAGAATAAGTTCACCAGAAACTGAGCGAGTTCAGTGTAGAATAAGCATTAGCTTTCTGTTTGCTGTCTTTCTTAGGAATTCTCATTACCCTCTGTAATATCATAAAGTGCACGGAAGCTCACATTTGTATAACTCCGTGACTTCATCTCCCACTGTGATGCAAGTTATTCCTCTGCTGCGTAGTCTTCTGGTTGGTTCTGGGAACTCTTCTAGGCTGCTTATATTTGGGGTTTTTTTATAATTTATACCCAGTCAGAAACCAACTGAACTTCTACAGTCATGTTAACTCAGGTTTATAAATCCTTCCTATTATGAATAAACAGTATTGTTAAATGTATGTTGGAAGAGATACCTGAGTCCATGCACAGTCCTTATTATTCATCACATCTTAACCCCAAAGTTACTACTACCAATAAATTTAGCCGTACTGACCTCTGGGTCTGGCATTTAGGCAGCCAAGCTTTGTTTGTCCTTCCCTCCAGAGAAGTGTTACGCAGTGAATGAGGCGCTGCAGGTTTTCTTTTTGCCTAGTTGACCTCTTCCTTGTTTACAGTGTCTATAAAGTAAAATAATGGAACAGATTTGCTACCAAGAACTGCAGGTACATAGATGCCTTTAGGAAGAGACTTTTCTCAACTTTGATATTTTGTATCTCGGACTACTTCACCCATCTGTATAGAGGTATTCAAATAACTCTTATCTTTCTTGGC